GCGCGCCAGGCCGAGCAAACGATTGTGAATGTAGGCCGCCCTGTCGCAGCTGGTGTCAGGGTCAGCCCCCCAGTGCTCGGGGAGCTTGTGGTCCCGCTCCCAGCCCGCGCAGTATTTGCGCCTGATGCGGCCCCAGATGCGCAGCCAGCTGCAGAGGAGCCCGATCGGGCGGCGGCCCCCGTCGGGCTTCCCCAAGAAGACTATGATCGTGGTGAACAGCTCCGGCGGCTTAGGGTGCCGTTCCCAGGCTGTCAAGATCGCTGCCAGCCTGGCCGCGCACTCCCTGCCAAGGCTGAGGATGAGCCTGGGATGGAAGGCGTCCCATCCCAGCGCCGTCTTCCTGGGAAAGGACCTCGCTGCTGCCAGCACATCCTCCTCCGCGATGGCGTCCAGACCCAAGGGCTCGTCCCAGTTCTCGGGGCGGACGCTGGCGGAGCCCTCTTTGTGCCAGAGCGCCTTCCAATCTTCAAGGATCCGATCCAGGGCCTGCTGCCCAACCAGCGGGGCTGGAGGGGCCTCCCCCTCGTCAGGGCCGAGGATGGAGCAGGTCCCGAGGTTGGCAAGCTTGCTGGTCGCGTGAGCGCCCTTGCCGTTCCCGCTGAGGGCCTCGTTCATGAAGTCCTTCCAGCGCTGTCTGGCCAGCTTCGCGCCCTCCCTGCGCTTGACCTCCGAGGCGGCGCCAATGGCCTGGAGGAACATGCTGCCCAACTCCGACCTGTCCGCGATCTCCGCCAGCAACGCCGACATCTTGGCGCCGCCAAACATCTCGCAGCCTTCTGCCTCGAACTTGGGGACCAAGTCAAGGGCGGCCGCCTGCAGTCTCTTGACGTGCTTGAGGTGCCTGGGCGAGGGGTGGGGCACCGCTGCCGCGGATGCCAACTGAGTGGCCAGGCGCCCCAAGGTAATCCAGCATCGCGTCAGCGGGCTGGACCTGCGCACCTCCTCCGAGCGCAGGAGGTGGATGAGCTGCTTGGGCACCCTCTTGGGCCCTTGCGCCCTGCCACGGTACTTGTCACCGTCCTTGATGCCGAAGAGGTGTATCAGGCGCTCCTCGGCCTGGTCGAAGAACTCCTTGATCGCCTCGTTTGGGCTCCCGCACTCATCCAGGAGCGGCGCCTTCCAGTCCGTAAGGGAGTCCTCCTCCTCTGGTTCTGGCTGGATCCCCTCCTGCTTCGCTCCTGGAAGCTCGAACGGCTTGGGACCCTTCTGCACCCAGACACCTGCCTGGCTGTACAGCTTCTCGAAGGTGAGTCTGACTGGAGTGTGCGGGTACGTCGTCGCCTGTCTGAGCACCGCCACCCTCGGCCCCAGTCCTGCCAGGGCGCCCGAGATCACGAAGAAGTCGTACGTGCTCTCACCGCAGGTCGGCTCGTCGGGCGCCACAATCACCGCTCCCACCGCGCGTGGCCACCACGAGCTGCTGAGGGGGCTGGGCTCCAAGTTCCAGTCTCCCCCCACAACGAAGGGCTCACGCAAACCTAGGGGGAAACCCTGCAGCTCGCTCAAGAGGTCCACGTTCGCTTCATTGAGCTTGACCGAACACTGCAGGCACAGGCTAACGCACACCACCACCAGGTCCCCGAAGGCGACGCGCCTCGCCACGATCCTGGAGGCGTGCTGGCCCCAGGTCTGGTCAATCCAGGCCACTCCGCGGTGCTCTCCGACCAGCACGGCGACCCCCGAAGAGACGGCTTGGGCTGCCGTTCCTGTGCTGCGGCACTCGCCGAAGGCCGCGTTGATGCCGTTCCTCTTCCACCGGGCTCGGGCAGGGCCCTCGGCCCGCGCCGAAGTGAACCGCGTCTCCTGGATGAGGTACACGTCGTCCCTGGCCTTCGCGTCCAGTAGCATCTCGAGGGCCGTCTGGGACTCCGCCCACGCGGGGCCGTTGATGCTGAGGATGCTGGCGCCCTGCTTCGCCGAAGGCCGCGCCAACTTGGCCAGCTGGAGCACCACGGCCGCGTAGTGCGCCGCCGCACCTGCCGTCTTCGCCCGTGGCTGGAGGCGGCTCGACGCCTCGCAGACGAGATCTGCGGGGAGTCTCGCGCCCGAGTCTGTCGCCACTCCATCCTGAACGAGCAACCCACTATTACATATGGGCCCTCGGCTCGACTGCGGGCTGCCAGTTCCTTGGCCTCTCTGCTCCTCCAGGCACCCATTGGACCTGGCATCAAAGACGCCGCGGCCGCTTGCCTGCCGCCCAGAGCGCGTCAAGGGCGTCGCGCAGCTTGCGCTTCGCCTCCTCTCGCTGCTCGGGGGCCGCTTCTCTGAGGGCTGCTGAGGCTGCGGCATGCTCCTCGCGCTTCGCCTCCCAGCCTTCTCCTCCCAGCAGATCCATGTCGATGTCGTCTGATTCTGGCACTGGTGCGCGCTCGCCGCCTGCGTCTGCCGCCCCAGCAGCAGCCCCAGAAGGAGCAGCAGCATCCCTGGCAGCGGCCGCTGCCTTCTTGCTGTCGCTGGCTGCGGTCTGCAAGCGGGCGAGGACCGCGAGGGCGTCCTTGGCCTCCTGGCTGGCTGCGACGTCCTCGTCCAGTCCCGCTGCGACCACCTGGATCGGGTCAGGGAACTCGCTGGCCTGGAGCTTGACCAGCTTGGCCTCCCCCTCTGTGAGCTCCTGGTTCTCTTCTTCGATCGAGACCTTGAGCTCCTGGAGCTCCTTGTCGAGCGCGGCCTGCTGCTCCAGGATGGCGGCCTCACGGGTCTCGAGCTTCTTGATCTTGTCACGCATGGCTTTGACCCGCCAGCGCTGAGTCTGAGCAGACGGCTGCTTGCTCTCGAGCGTCTTCGACTCCGCCGCCTTCTCCGCTGCCTCCACCGCGCTGGCGTCGAGCCCCTCCTTCGCCAAGAAGGCGACCACGTCCTTGTAGGAGATGCCAGGGCTCTCAACCGCAGCCTTCCTGGGCGGGGGCTTGCGCTCCTTCCAGGGCTTCGACTGCGGCGGGGCCTCGCCCTTGAGCTCTGCCACCTGCTTCTGCAGCCTCTGCAGCTGCTCCAGAAGCTGACCCTGTCCTGGCGGACCCTGCGCCCAGGCCCCGCGCGGGCGAGATGTGCTGGGTGCTGGCCCTTCTGCTGCTGCTGCCGAGCGCTTGGCTGCCTGTACCACCTTGGTGGAAGCCGCCTTCCAGCACTGGCGGCAGCGGATCCTGGACGCCCAGTTCCCATCGCAGCCGCATGAGCAGGACCAGAGAGGTGTCTGCTTCGCGCCGGGGATGATGCCAGCAGGGTCCAATTGTGGCGGCGCCATGGCCCGCGGGCTGCCGCGGGAGGAGCCGTCGTCGAGAGTTGGCTCGTGCCCACTACGCCGCTTCGAAGTAAGTGGGCACAAACGCGAGCTGTCGCCAGCTCAGGTAGATCAGCTCGCGCCGAAACGGCTACGGTGGGGGCATTGGATAAGGAACCCTTAGATGAGGAATCCTGGGTCTGAAAGCTGGTGGAATTCCGATCGTGGATCGGCCATGGATATCACCGCCGCCCTCATCAGATAAGGAACCCTCCAGGGTCTGAAGCCCCTGGGCACATGCCTTATACAACACCCCCACCGTAGCCTTCGGTCGGGCGTGTCCTACAGGCGGATTTTGGACGAAAATCAAACCATAGTCAGCAAATACGCCAAATACCAACAATTGTCGAAACATCGTCACCATACTGTTCTCTGGCTATGTTTGAATTCCTCCTGTAGAGGGACACGCCCGACTCAGACTTACCCTCGTCCGGCTTCCCATCCAACATCGTTTCTTCGCGGCCCCGAGGCCCGGTGGGGACCCCGATGAGCCGAACGGCGCGAAAAAACCTCTGTCCCCGTTTTCCTTCGAGACGCATAAATGTCTGGGGACACCCGGCCTTCGGTGGTTCGAAATGGGATCCTGAGGGGTAGGTCCTGAGGACGAGGCACCTCGAACGATGTGAACTCATCCTTGGACCCCTTCGTATCCTTAGGACCCCATCCCTGAAGACCCCTTTTTTGAACAACCGAATCCTATGCCCAGGATGGGCTTGGCCTGGCCAGGGATATCGGCATTGGCGGGAAGCCGGCGCCCCCCGATCTCGCCCCCCCCTAGGAGGAGGAAGAGGAGAAGGAGGAAAGGGAGGAGAAGGAGGAGGAGGAGGAGGAGGAGGAGGAGGAAAGGGAGGAGGAGGAGGAGGAAAGGGAGGAGGAGGAGGAGGAGGAGCAGCAGCAACAGGAGGACGAGAAGGAGGAGGACGAGGAGGAGGAAAGGGAGAAGGGGAGAGGGCGGAGAAGGAGGAGGGGGAGGAGGAGGACCATCACGTGGCTAATGGGGGGAGGCTAAGGATTGGCCGACCCGACCCTAACCAGAAGCCTCGTGGCACTGGGCCACCCTTGTTCCCCACAGCGACCCGAAGCCTCGTGGCACTAGGCTCGCAACGACGGCTGGGATGCTCCGTGGCACCCGCCATCTTTCCAGTGAGAAATCCGACGACCCTCATGGGGGCCTTTCAGACACTGCATTACTGACTAGGGAAGCACCAGAGAACGGCACGACAATGTGATCTTGCTCTGTCAAGGTCTATCCCCTTGCGCGCATAGAGCAGTGAGGAACGGGAACCGAGGGTCGAATCGAATTGAGCGAAGGACGTAGCCTCCGCCGCTCTCCTGCGCAGGGAAGCGCCAGGGGTATGCCTGGCTCTTCGACCTGCTGGCACAGAATTCCGTTCCTTCTTTAGGAAGGTTTCCGAAGGCATGCCTGCCACCTGCGAAAAAATAGGATACAAAAGAAATGCACAGACACAGCATACAGCGAACACTGAACAAAGAACCACTTATTCTCTGATCTTACAGCAGCTGCATACAACAATCACTATCTCAGACTTCAACGAATGCTGGCAACGCTACTCGCGGCCTCCATATCTTGTAACTGAAGCTATTGGACTTTTTTGTTATATATATAGCGTGGCTTCATACAGAAAGGGACAAAGTCTGATCGGACAGGCGTGCAACTATCAATCTTCAAGTTGTAATGTCGGACGCCTTCTCCTTCGACGAATTAAACAGCTGCTTTCTCTATCTCCGCGCTCTGATTGCCGACGGACAGCCAGTTTTCTCCAGCGCGGTACTTCCAGCTAGTGGTGCCGAACTGCTTCCAATCCACCTCGGAAATGACCTCTGTGGCGTCGTCGTGGGGGGTCGCCTCATCGTAAGGCTCCGTGCCCAAGAACTGCTCCTGGACCTCCGCCTGGCTGCTGAAGCCGTCGTGCGGCTTCTCCAACGCAGCCTGCTCGATCTGCACAGGGTCCTCCTGGATCGCTTCCGACGCCTCAATCGCCTCCTGGTTGGGCGGTTCCGCAGCCCGCTCCGCGGCGAACTGCACCACCTGCTCGTCCGCAGGCTTCTTGAAGTCGTCGCCGTCGTCTCCCTCCACCTCGATGGGCTCCGTGACCTGGGGATGCTCTGGGTCCACAGCCTAGATGTCGAAGCCGTCGTGCGGCTTCTCGGCCACGGCCTTCTTCATATGCCTGTCGTCCGAAACATCGATGAATCCAGGCACGGCGTCGGCATACTGTTCCGTGTCTTCCACGCGCTGTGGCGACAAGGATCCGCAGCAGCTCGTTCCTGAGGCCCTCGCCGTAGGTGACCAGCTCGTTGGCCTCCATGTCGGAAACCAGCATGGCAGTGGGCGTCCAGAAATTCTCCTCGAGTTCGTGGTATACCATGCCCGACGCGATGGGCAGCTGCGTCACGAGTCCGGGCGAAAGCCAGCCAGTCGGTCGTTGGCCTCCTGGAGTTTGCGCGCATGGATTGCGCGACCTGTGGCGCGGCGGCAGGCGCTACGCGACGACGTTGGGGCCGCACTCCGTAGGGCGGCACACAGGAACGCCATAACTCTGCGTGTCTGACTGTGACTGGGGCGGGCCAGGCGAGGCGGGCGCACAAGGGAGCGAAAGCAGACTTCGTGCTCGTGGTGCCGAAAACGCCGCGGGGGGCCTGCTCGAGCGAGGAGGAGCAGGAGGAGGAGAGGGAGGAGGAGGAGGAGGAGGAGGAGGAGGAGGAGGAGGAGGAGGAGGAGGAGGAGGCCAACAGCCTGCTCGAACATGCCCGACGTCAGCCCAGCTGCCTGGGCCCTTTCGGCCTGCACGGGCGTTTCCGGGCGCTCGGGCCACCGCCCCGCACCCACCCACGGGGGAACGGGGCGCGGGCGCGGGCGCGGGGCGCCGTGGTACCGCCCCGGGCTGCCCCCGGGGGCGGCCAAGGGCGTCCCCTCCGGGGCAGCTCGGAGGCATGACGAGAGAAGGACCAAGGCTTCCCCCACCAATTCAAGCCAGCGGCAGCGCGGGGACGGCAAACACCCCGACTGGGAAGGACGCCCAGCGACTGCGCCCCAGAGCACTTGGAACCCCCTGACAGACCCCCGAAGCCCTCCCGCAAGCAAGTTCCCTCGGAAAGGGAACCAGGGGTGGGGTACAGGGGTGGAGTGGGGCAGAAGGGCCTCGAAATTGTATCAACTAGCCGTTCGAAACAATATGATACTTGCAGTGCGAAGCTAGTTACCCCTAGACATCCCAGGGCTCAGGGCTCTCGAGGCGGCACGCTGACGCATTCGACTATGCCCGACCGTTCGGGTATAGGGGTATATACTTCCTCACAATGTATTGAAGAATCGAGCTCTCGCTTAGGACTTCCTTGCAATTTACCACCCGATCGCGGCTCCCGCTTGATACTTCCTTATAATGTTTTGAAGCATCGCGCTCTCGCTTGGGACTTCTTCGCAACTTCCCACCGAATCGCGGCTCCCGCTGGATACTACCTCACAATGTATTCAGATGCCGCTCCTCGACACTCAGGAATCGCGTTCCCGCTACATATTGCATGGCGGTTCAAACAGAATTTACGCTTCAACGGCCCGCCGCTCGACCCGCCCGTCTGGGCCTGCCCGCCCGACCAGCCCGTCAGGGACTGCAGTCGCCGCTCGCTGCCCTTCGCCCGCCTTCGATGCCCATCGCTGCCCGCGCTGGTTCCGCGGTCGCCTTCGCTCGCTGCCCTTCGTGGCCCCGTTGCTGCCCTCAGTGACCCCGTCGCTGCCCATTGTGGCCCCGGATTGAATGCCCTTCGTGGCCCCCGCTCATAGTCGCCCGTCGTGGCCCCATACGCATGCCCTTCGTAGCCCCGCTGTCGCCCTTCGTGGTTCTCTCGCTGCCCTTCGTGGCCCACTTTCTGCGCTCAGTGGCCCCGCCCCGCTGTCGCCCTTTGAGGCCCCATATACGAATACGAATGCCCTTCGTGGCCCCTGCTCGTTCGCGCCCGTCGTGGCCCCATATGCATGCCCTTCGTGGCCCCGCTGTCGCTCTTCGCGGCCCCCTGTCTGCCCTTCGTGGCCCCGTTTCTGCCCTCAGCGGTCCCGTCGCTGCTCTCTGTGGCCCCAGATTAATTGCCCTTCGTGGCCCCCGCTCGTTCGCACCTTTCGTGGCCCCATACGCGTGCCCTTCGTCGCCCCGCTGTCGCCATTCGTGGCCCCCTCGCTGCCCTTCGTGGCCCACTTTCTGCGTTCAGTGGCCCCGCTGTCGCCCTTTCTGGCCCAATAGTATGCCCTTCGTGGTCCCCGCTCGCTCGCGCCCGTCGTGGCCCCATATGCATGCCCTTCGTGGCCCCGCTGTCGCTCTTCGTGGCCCCCTCTCTGTCCTTCGTGGCCCCGCTTCTGCCCTCAGCGGCTCCGTCGCTGCCCTCTGCGGCCCCCTTATACGCATGCCCTTCGGGGCCCCCGATCGTTCGTGCCCGTCGTGGCCCGCGCCAACAACGGCTCCCGCCTGATACTTGCTTACAATTGATTGAAGAATCGCGCTGTCGCTTTGGACTTCCTTGCAATTTACAGCCGGATCGCTGCTCCCGCTTGATACTTCCTTACAATGTATTGAAGAATCGCGCTCTCGCTTGGGATTTCCTCGCAACCATACGCATGCCCTTCGTGGCCCCGCTGTCGCCCTTCGTGGCCCTCTCGCTGACCTTCGTGGCCCTTTTGCTGCGCTCAGTGGCCCCGCTGTCGCCCTTCGAGGCCCCATATACGAATACGAATGCCCTACGTGGTCCCCGCTCGTTCGCGCCCGTCGTGGCCCCATATGCGCGCCCTTCGTGGCCCCGCCGTCGCCCTTTGTGGCCCCCTCTCTGCAATTCGTGGCCCCGGTGCTGCCCTCAGCGGCACCGTCGCTGCCCTCTGTGGCCCCGGATTGAATGCCCTTCGTGGCCCCCGCTCGCTCGCGCCATTCGTGGCCCCATACGCATGCCCTTCGTCGCCCCGCTGTCGCCCTTCGCGGCCCCCCACGCTGCCCGTCGTGGCCCACTTTTTTGCGTTCAGTGGCCCCGCTGTCGCCCCTTTTGGCCCCATATATGTATGCCCTTCGTGACCCCCGCTCGTTCGCGCCCGTCGTGGTCCCATATGCATGCCTTTCGTGGCCCCGCTGTCGCCCTTCGTGGCCCCTGACACGATATGTTCTTTCAAGGGGGCGGTACGTGGCGCTGTTTATGGCGCGACCCATGGCGAAACTTATTGTTAACCTGTGTTGGAGCGGCTGGCGCAGGCCATGGCGCAAGCCACCACTCGCAGCACAAATCGTCGTTGTCCCTCCTTCTTGCCCCTCCCCTCCCCTCCGATGCCTTCGTCCTCACTATCCCGCGTTATCTGTTACCCTTCGTTTTCAAGGGCTTCACCAACCACACGTGGCAGGGAATGACTATACCCCCAACTGGGGGTACGATCGAAGACGAAGAGGGCGGGTTTCCAGGGTTTGGGACATGCATCTTGAATGACACGCGAACAGATAAGAGCGAACAAGTTTAAAATGATTGTTGTTGTTGTTGGTTCTCGCCGTCCCACCCGCGGCCCACCCGCGACTCTCCCCGCGACCCACCCCGCGACCCACCCCGCGACCCACCCCGCGACCCACCCCGCGACCCGCCCGTGACCCACCCGCGACCCAACCCGCGACCCACCCGCGACCCACCCCGAGACCAACCCACGACAAACCCGCGACCCACCCCGCGACCCACCCGCTACCCGGCCCCCGACCCGGCCCGCGACCCACCCCGCGACTCGCAACCCACCCCGCGACCCACCTGGACCCGACAATTGATGTTTACTGAACGGCCCTGGCCGTTTTGCGTTCTAGCCGCGGCCGGCGTGGAAGGCGCGCCCGTGCCAGGCGAGCGATTGGGGGGGCGCGGCGTCGCGCGCGCCGCCGACGGCGCCCTGCTCCTATCGGGGGGCGCGTTGCCCGCCCGCTCTCAAGCACGGCGCGTCGAGGGCGACGGCAGGGGCCGCGCGCGTCTGGCGCTGCGACGACACCTCGTTGCAGTAGACGCGAACTACGAAAGAAGCTGCTGTGAAACATCTAGGGGCACATCCTTCGTCAGTGCTCAAGGGCCCTGAGTTGCCCCAGAGCGTCTGGAGGCCCCAGGGGCCATCGGCCAGGGGAGCCTCGCACCGTCGCACCAGTCGGCGCGTGAGCAGAGAGGAGAGCGCGCAGCCAACATGCCTATGGCAGCGTGGCCAAATCTGCACTGCGCGCCCCCGCTCGCGAGCCGCGCCGCCGTCGCGACGGAAGCGGTCCGCGAGTCGCGCATGGGGGGCAGCAGCTGCCAGCGATTATTCCACACAATGCGCCGACAAGTTTGGCAAGGCCCACCTCGCCCCCTCGCTCCGGCAGGCTCGCGCAGCTCAAAATCCCGGTCCAAACGCCGAGCGACGAACTGGATCGCTGCTCGGTCGCCTCGCCAGCTGTTCGATGAACGCCAACTGTCTTCCAGCGAGGCGATTGCTGAGTTTGTCTTGCCCCGCGATGTTGGGCGCGGCTGCGTTGAATCACCCGATAAAATACGCATGAGAAATTTGATAATTTCTCCGGGGACAGCGGTTCTGGAAGGCACCCAGCCGTTGCCGACGTGGGGCTCAGGCTGCAGCGCGACCCGCAAAACCCGACGCGCCTCATCCACTCCTGAACCACCGAAAGAATCGATGTCGATCAAGAGAGCGTCGCCCGCATCTGCCAAGTCCCTTACCGAATGCATTTCTGTCTGCGGGCCGATGCGCCGGAGGATCTCCACGCGGGCGTCAGCCAGCAACGTCGCCATGGCGATGTTGAACAGGAGTGGTAACCGAGGGCATCACTGACTCCATGGCGTCGAGGTCGCTCGTCCGCGACAAATCCAAAATCCGCCGCGATGGAAAGCCCGACTCGTGTAAACTGCCGTTGCCATCTGGACACAACGGCGCGAGTACCCGAATCTTCACAGAGAGGATGCCCATGCAGCAGACGGCGCCGAATCGAACATTTTCGCCCACTCCAGCGCCGAGAAATAGATTTCGCCGTCTCGAGTGCTCCATGCGCGCTCAAGGACCCTGCGGGCAAGGAAAAACGCGCCCGCCGTGCCCCGTTTGGATCGGAAACCAAATTGTGTCTGCCAGGTTCTGCATTCGGCTCGCGCGTACTTCAGCCGCCTTCTTTACGACGCAATTGCAAACATCTTGTATGCAATGATAAGCTGATGGCATATTGGTATCACATTATGCATGGTCACCTTTTCTCACGCATCATCCGCATTCGCGACCTGTGCCAATCATCAGGCACTTGCCCATTCTCCCAGACGGCGTCGCAGAATAGCTCCATCCTCCGAGGCTGTCTTCCAAAACTCTGGCGGAAATTCGAGGAGCCTCCAGCCTGTCCCT